AAAAAAAAAAAAAAAATACAAGACATAGTTGAAAGTAAGTTTAAAAGATTGAAATAAATGGAAATACATCTGATATTCATTGTGATATTTTTTCAAAATGTTAAATATAGAGTAATCATATGTATGAACCATCAATTCCACCCCAATATATGTACCCAAGAGAATTGAAAACATAGGTACATGCAAACTTGTACAGAAATTTATGGCAGCATTATTTATAATAAACCCAAAGTAGCAAAAACCCAAGTGCCCATTATTGATGAATGGCTCAACAAATTATGGCATATCCATAACATGGATTATTATTAATACTTGGCAATAAAAAATAAAGTATTGATGTATGGTAAACATATATGAACATAGAAAACATCATGCTAAGTTAAAGAAGCCAGACACAAAGACCACATAATATATGATTCATTCATTTATATGAAGTGTTCAGAATAGGAGAATTTATGGAGCCAGAAAGTAGATTAGTAGTGACGACTAGAAACTAGCACTTTAGCACTTAGTTCCACAGACACAGAGATAGTTAGATCATGTAGCCTAGTTAGTTAGCATGTGGCCTCTGATGTGAGAACACCTGTGTTGAAATCCTGTCCCCCCCCCCTTTGTTAGAAGAGGGACTTTGGGCAAGTCACTCAACTTCTCTGAACCTCACAGAATAGCATTGAATTATGCTACAAAGAAAGGAATTGGTGTCTAGGCATTCTTTTTTTAAAATAGGGACAAATTCAATTTTATAAAAATTATTCCCAAATTGCAGAGCATACTTCATAGGACTGTGTAAGGATTAAGTGAACGCTACATGGAAGCACCACGAAGATTCAATAAGTGTCAGTAGTTGTTGGTTGATGTTAAATAAATAATAAATGAATGATTTTTAAAACTCTAGCTGACAAAATGGTTTATTGTCAATAAAATATTAAGTGAATACATTTCCCTCCCCCCCAAATTTTGTGATTTGGTGGTTAAGTTTTTACTTCTTATGTAAAACATTAAAAAAGCAGTGTTAGAGTTTCTAGATTTATAGACTAAAAGAATATTTAGTTTTTGTTTATGTTTTCCTTTTCCAGTCTTGGACTTGGTCTTCCCTGTTCATTTGCTATCCAAATAAAAAGAAGGCTTAAAAACAGCTGAGAAAGCTCACTGGCATTTGAAAAGCTGAATATACACTTCAAAGTTAATTTCTTTCTAAAATAGCTTCTTTCTTTTTTCTCTTCCATCTGAGGAAGATTTTCTTTTGATGTTGGTGGTGGGGTGGGGGGAAGCAATTCATAGAGACTAAAGCTCAGTGATTCTGTCCTTAGGGGACCTTTAATTTGTGGGCAGACCCGGGAGCCCCAGCCTTCCAGAAGAACACTCCTGAAGACTCTTGGAAGCCTATTTCCAGTGTTGTAAAGGTGAGTGATTTCCTAGCATATAAACTTATTCACACTAATAATATAATTTCTGCCAAAATATAATAAAAGTCCTAAGCCTAATGGAAAATTTCAAATTCAAATTTGTCTTTGTTTTCAGGCATTTTCAGTAAAGAGATAGGAAGTGGTTATTGTTTTTTAAAAATAACAAAAAATGCACTGTAAAGTCCCACTGATAATGCCAATTCAAATACAAGATTATGAAGTTTTTGCTTAAACTTCTTGATTTTATATGTGCATCTGCTTTGACCCCCGTGCTGATAACCCCACCTTTCACTGACACCAACAAAATTGCAAGTTTGCTTTTAAAGAAAATAAACAGACAACAGTCCACAAATAATAATATGATTACCAAATATAGTTTCAGGTTTTATCACTGGCTTGAATGCTTATAGAGTCAAATTATGATTTTTGAAATCACTTGGAAAAGTTTCTCTCTCCATGGGACTATGCCAACAACTCATTAAATAATTAAAGCTCATTTGTATCATTTCTCTTTCAATTTTAGGGATTCTTAAAAACAGTTTTATAATTATGTAAATATATACTTTGTTCCAAAGATAAATTTATAAAACAAAGTATTAAAACCAATTATATTAAGAGTATTCAAGCTACTTGTTCTCTCCCCACTCCCACTCCTATGTAAACTTCTAAAAAATTATAGTTTATGCTTCCATTTATATAAATCCTTCTTTTATAAATATTAGCATTCTATAAGGACTTTTCACCACCTGGAGATCACTATACAGTGGTATATAAAGATATTCCCCATTACTTTTTATAGTTGTATGCTACTTTCTTATTTGGATAATTTAATCAAACTGCCATCTATTGAGGGGCATTTTTATTGGTAACAGTTTTTTTTTTTTCATTTATAAATAACACTGCAATGAATAGTCTTTCGGGTATCTTTTTGTACCTTTGTCAGTGTGTCTTTGAGATAGATTTCTAACAGAAAGATTGCTGGGTCAAGTGGTGAATGCATATTTAATTCTTCTAGATATTGTCAAATTCCATTCTAACTTTTTGCATTTCTGCAAGCAATGTATGATAGTACCTCTTTACCCACTGTCTTGTAAAGAAAAATATTCTGTTAAACACTTGGATTTTTGCTAATCTGATGGGAAAAACTACATTTCTCTTATTCAGAGTGAATCATGTTGAACAACTTCACAAATATTTAAGTGACAATTGCATTGCCTTTTCTGGGAATTGTGTGTTTATATTTCTAGCCTTTTATCATATGATTTAGAGTATATTTCTTCTTCATTTTTAGAAGACCTTCATACATTAACCTATTAACTCTTTGTAGTACAAGTAGCTAATAATTTTTCCAATTTGTTATTTATCTATTTAATTTTCTTAAAGTGTTATTTTTTCAGCCCAAAATTGTGTGTGTGTGTCTATGTTTGTGTGTGTTCATAATGGAACTAATTTTTCCCTGGAATTTAAGTAGAGTAAGAAAGTTTTTCTTACCACCCAGTTACAAGAAATTTGGCCATTCATTTATTTCCCCTAGGTCATGTGTGGCTTTTACATTATACATTTAAATCTCTGATTCATTTGGAATTCATCCTGGTGTACAAGTTTAAGAAATTCCTAAAATTCACCAACCAAGAGCCAGTACAAGCTGCCTCTGGAACACCACTGCTGATAGATCATGTCATTGTCATTGACAGACTACTGTTTGGAGAGCCATGAGTTGTTTCCATGTGTTGTTTCATTTTGTGTATGTTTTATCAAGTCAGTGAAGTTCCTAGTGCCTCAAATTTTCCATGTCAAAATCCTCTTTGGACATTGAGATAATATGTCATTATTCTTGGTGAACAGTACATTACAGCTTTGGGGGGAGAATGTATCACTATTTAAAAAAAAAAAACTTTGCTATTTCTCTTATTGAGTTTTTTTTTTTTTTTTAGTAGAAAACAATCATTCAATTGCACAATAGTGCTGCTACTTGCAAAAACAATACAGAAGAGGGAGATATCCATGTAGGGAGACAATTATGTATTAAATGGTCTAGATTTTTAGCAGATTGGCACTGACTCTTGCTTATAACGATATATCATCCATTTTCTTCTCTCAGGTTTAGAAAATTCACCATTCCCAAATGGACCCACAAAAAACACAATCTATTATAACGACTCACCACTACTGGAAGCATCATTCAGATTTAGCAGTCCTCCTCCTAGCCCTCTGTAACTATGGTAACTGTAGGTCCCATTGCCGTTGATGTACAACACCTCCTGCGAGCCGGGAACAGCTGATGTGGAGTAAGTGGCCTGGGCCGCCTCTGGCTTACACTGTCTGTCAGCTGGAGCAGAGTCATCCTGCAATGACAGGCAGCATTCCATTATTTATCAGCCCACTGCACTATTTCAACTGGGACAGGACTATCTTATTGTTATCTACATCTGTATCTGCACTGAATAAGAAAAGTACACATAGCGAACATTAAGCAAGCACACACGCACATTTTCAACATTTTGTCAAAAACTAAAATGAGCAAAGCTAAATAACAATGTGGGCAGATTGGAGATGGAACAATTGACAATTTTCAACTAAAGTTAAAATTACATGAAGAGAGTTACTCATACTACAAAAGTGGAAGCAACCTAAAGGCACACTGGCATATAAATGGATAAAGAAAATACATACAATGGATTATTCAGGCTCGAAAAAGAAAGAAACCCCATCATATACTACAACATGAATGAAACGTAAGGACTTTATGCTAAATGAAATTTTTAAGAAGTAACAAAAAAGGAGATGTTTTGTGATTCTACTTATCAAGTATTTAAAGTAGTCAAACTTAGAGACACAAAGTAAACGCCACTATTTTACTTTATGTGTAGGGGGCTGGTGGAGGAGGACGGGGGTGGGGGGGCGCGGAGTCTTTTTGTGGGTACAGAGTTTAGTAACAGTGGTGTTGTTGGGGGTGATCCTGGGAATCTGTTACACTACAATGTGCATATGGTTGACAATATTGGACCATAAATTTGGAAACTGTTGGGAAGGTAAATTTTATGTTAATTTTTTAAAAAGCTAGCTAGGCTTACAAACATTACATGAAGAAAAATTACAATGGAAGGCAAAAAAATATGTGATCAAATTTGCAGCTCTTTAAAAATTTTTTTTTTGCAACCTTCTGTCTTTTTCTTATTTTATGATTATAGCAAAATTTATTGAGTGTGGACCAAGCTGACCTCATTATATGCATTATAACAGCCTGACAAGGATACAAATGAAACCTAGGCCTTTCTGTTTTTTGTTTGTTTTGGTCATTTGTAAGTTGTGCTAGTGTCCACAAAATTTGCTTCGGACCTTCTAACCATGTCAAGTTATAAGGAAATAATTTTAATTTGCAGTAAGTTGTACATATTCTCAACAGCAAAGCAGACTGAATTTCCCTTCAACTATGAATTTATAAAGTCTAAAATATATACCACATATATGCCTTTACTTGCCTACTACATTCTTTATCTTTTCTTCTTTTTTTATTAACAAGAATTATGAACCGATTTCTAGTGAATTCTTAGGAGAATTTTTTGTTGTTGTTGCAATCAGAAGCATTTTGCAGCTCTTAAATTTATATTATACGTTTAGTGAAACAAGTAACTTTCAAACAGATTTTTTGTGGCTCTAAGTGCTAGAAAGGAAGAAACACAAAATAAGTTTGCTTTATGGACACAGTAGTATTGTTATATTGAGGAATATTCTAATGTTTTAAATTGAGAAAGCATAGCTATGACTATCAGAATCATACAGTTACGTTCTTGTTCCTTCAATCTAGGCAACCTCTAGCTGATCCATTCAACAATGACCATTATACTCAGCTGTAGACCTCAGACACATGATCTACGGGCTTTCATCATTTTCTTTCTAGTAAGATTAAATAAACATAACATTTCTAGAAGTAAATTGAAGTGAAAAATAAGAAATTGAAAACATAGCATAACATAAAAAGAAATGTTAAACTTTGATGTAAATTTATTTTCCCAGCATTGCCTTTTAAAAAAACATGCAAAAAGTGATGCATCTGAGATATATGTAATATAAACATAAAATGACCTAAATTGGTGCATTAACTAGAATGTCTGGTTATAATTTAAACTCTTGCCATTTAAACTTTTAAAATCCTGGGTGGGTAAATTACCTTTGAATAACTGTTTTCCTGGGAGAAATTGCCTTAAATAAGGGACCTAGACAGAATCAAATTTTGTTGGTATTTCTGGTTCTATAATTTAGGTTGGGAAGTCAGCAAGTTCCAGACTTTTTTTTTTTTTAATTTTAAAAGTTATTCTTTGCAAGTAGAAAATATCCAAAGAAGGTGAGCTTTTAGATTGTGTTTCTCTATAAAAATAGTTATGGAGCTTTCACCAAATTTACATCTGGTAATAGGGGCTTTTTCTAAAGATATATTTCTATTTGATATATAGGCAAACAACATGTATGTTTTCTTTCATATTTATGATGAATGAGTGACAGGGTGAGTAGAAAATGGTCAAACCAATGATTACTACACCTTATACACTGTTCATCAGTATTTCCTAAAGGTATAATAAAAGTCTTCCATCTAGGAAAGCCAATGTCCCTGCCAGGGGACAGAAATTTTTATTATAAATATATACACATATATACCCCTATACTAGAATAGACATGTAACATATTCATTCAGTGCAAGCTTATTAAGTAAAGTTTGCCAAAAGAGTAATTCTTTTTTCACACATACAACTTTTTTTTCCTACATGTAGTAGGTTTCAAGCTGGTATTCATGGAACTATTAGGCTTCTGGGGGAAATGGCTCAGGTCTTCCTGAGATTATGGGTGAAGGTATACAGACACGCTTTCAGGCTACATCCTTCCTCTTCAACCAGACTAGTAGCTCCGCTCTGCTCAATCTTACACTCATAAAATCACAGCATGTAAAGCATTATGAAAACCACTGAGCTGCAAAGTGTTCTTTATGTAAAGATTTGTAGCCATGGAAACTCTGAAAAAAGGCAGAATGTTCTGTACTTGAAGGCAATTTGGGGGTCCTTGGGTAGGGGTTGGCCTCAAATAGTCCCACCACTCCTGTAGTGGAAGTAACTTGGGCAACATGATAAAACTTGAATTTCTAGCTTTGGAAAAATGGTGGCTCTTCTGAAACACATCTGCCTATTTCTCTGCATTTGGAAAATGACCATAAAATACACTTGCAGAAGTTTCTTATTGACGTGTAAAAAGGGTGAAGGGAGAAGACATCATCACTACCATATTTTCTCTTTGATTCTTTGCATGGTCAATTTAACTTGTATTATGAGATGTGATATTTTAAAAATTTTCCCCAGTCTTTTGTTATTAACTGTTATTCCAAACCATAGTAACTGAACTAAGCAGCCAGGTAACTGATTCCATTAATACTCAAAACAGGCCTTGTAGGGATTCATTTGTATTCAAATATAGATGTGCATTATTAATATTTTTGGCAGTCCACTATATGTTGAAAAATACAATGTATAAAGCTCCCCCCAAAGTCTGGGTTGTAATGTCTTTTGGAAAAAAGTTTTATATATAATTAATTCATGTTTTTTTATCTTGAATGATTATTATTGGCTTCAAAGGATATTAATAACATAATAAATAAATATCCCTGGAGTCATATTTTATCCCTGTAAGCAACTTTTAATAATCATTAGTTCCCAAAGTTCTCACAGCTGACAGCTTGCCTACTGGGTTGCTATGAAGATTGTTTTCAAAAAGTGTAATATTAATGTGTTATAAGGCTTCATATCTAGGCAATGAAATAAATTTAATTTACCAGAAAACAGAAAAAAATCCTCTCCTAGCTTTCATTAGACACATTTCAAAATATTTTAAGTTTATAAAAAATAAAATTAGATCAATGATTGACCATAAGCAGTATATTAGATAATGCACAGAGCTGTTTAGATTTTTAGATTTGGTAAAAAATATGCAACAGATGAAATACTTAAGGTGACTTCTATAATTAGGCTCTGGTTTTATCAATAAATATACCCTTGTATATAAATATACATTTCATATATCAAAAAAGGGCTTATAAAGATGGGTGTTTATTTATACATGAAGGGCAAGATTGGAAATGGTGTAGAAGAGACATTGCCTGCCATTGACACACAGTTTGAGAGGACTGGCTTGTACTCCTATTTCCTCTACCTTTAGAAACCAAACAGGGACAAATTTGAGTTTGCTAAACCTCATCTGGTATCTGGGCCACACCGACTGAATTCCTAACATAACACAGATACCTATCAAGATAGACATGTTAGACGTGTTTTATAGAAATGAAATTTGGTTGCTCTGCTCAACTTTTTGACAATAAATTTTAGTAAAAATGGCATAGAAAAGTTACAACTTTACCATATCTCATAAGAATGCTGTGTTTTTAGAGACTTTATATCCTCTACCATCTAATGAATATGCTTTGTATTTTCAATAACTTTTATCTTCCTGTCCAGATTATCAGTAAACTCCAATAAAATTCACTGCTAGATTCAGTGATCCACATATGTTGCATCTGTTTACATTTTACCTTATATTTTTATAGCACTTTGAAGTTTACAAGGCATTTTCACATTAATACTGAATTATATTTTGAGAATATCATGTGATATTATAAGGGAAGGATATTAGTGATCCACCATTTCAAGGTAAAGAACTTTAAAATAACCCCCAAATAATCTTATTACTGCAAAATAGTAAACACAATGGATGATGCAAGCCTCAATGTGCCTGAAATATATATAAGATTATTACGGGATTTCTCTTGTCCATACACATTCTTTATAGTCAATATGACAAAGCATTTTTCTTTATGTTACTGCTCTAAACTTCTCCTTTGCTCTATTAGTACAGATTGGGGAAGGGAGTGCAATGCATTTCACGTATAACCTACTGCAAAACGTCTCTGCTTTTGAAAGCCTCTCTTCCATTTGCAAGTATTCCACAACTAAGTACATTGCTAAGAGTTTCCAGAGAAATTCATAAAAAATCTGAGATAACTAGAGCTCCCACTTAAAATCTTTTCCTGCTAAGAAAAACTGACTGCACTTAAAGTGAATGTAATTATCTGAGATGTTGAGAGGTGATTTTATTGAGGGCATCAACAAAACACACAGACACCACAGAGCCACATACATAACAACACTCAAGAAGTAATTTCTTTCTTACAGTTAGGAGCATTTCATAATATGTGAAATTATGCAGTTGCTGGCCATACAGATGATTAGGATGCCAACACAGACCTTCGTTCTTTGCAAAGATGCTGTCAAACCCACTAAGATAATAAGGAAAGCCATATTTTCAC